CTCTTTTTTATAAAATTTTCTTAATCATAAAATTATTTGTAAATAGTAATAATAGTTAAATTTCATATTTCTTCGTATTTTAGTAGTTTATAAATTTTTTGATTTATCGAAGTGGAAAAATGACACTTCAATTGAATTCATAATTTATTTGACTGATTCTTAATAAGATTGTTGTATTTTTTTCACATACTGTGATGGTAATTCGACGAATTTTCTGGTTTCGTGAAGTGGAAATACGTTGTGTAAATTCAATCTTCAATATTTTTGAACTTTTTCTTTAATTATGGGAACCGTTATAACACCGTACACTTTTTTTTTTAAATATTTCAAGTCCAAAATTGCATTATAAAGATTCAAAAATATAATGTACCAGTAATCATATTACATAAAGTTATTTTATGAGCTATTAGAATCACATGGGTATTTAAGCTTGCTAGATTTTCAGGTTCCAAATGCCGTGCTGCACGGATAGAAATAGATTATATCATTCTAGCAAGCTCGGATATGAATATACTATCTTACATTCCTTGCAAATACTCATAACAGTAAAATATATATATGTACATAAACTATGTAATCTTATTTATCATTTTAAGTTTAATAATTATGGTATTGCCATGGTGACTAATAAACTACAATAATTACGATACTAATCAAGATATTATAACGAGAATAAATCTATCATAAATATCAAAATTATTATGTATTAAATATAAGAATGATTCAGTGATAAATTAATTTTTAGATATTTTAAACCAAAATATTTATAAAATCAGATAGCAAGTATTAGATAATTATTGTAAATCGTACGTAAAGTATTAAGCTTGAATTTTAATGACGTGTCATAAATAATATATTAAATAATTATTAATCTTAAGAATTGAACAGTAACAAATTAAAATAAATAATTGATATATTTACTTTTATTTAAATACTAGGATTTTTCTAAATCTAAACTATTTAGTAAATTATAACAACACACAAAATAATAACACAATTAGAATGGAATACATAAAATAATAATACACGAAATGAAAGAAAAAGTAAAGGTTAGAAAAGTAAGGTTATGTCGTATGTAAATTGAGATAATTGAATTGTTATGCAGCGTCATCTATAGAAAACTTACAGTATCTAAAGACGTAGATAACCTTTAAATAATAAATCCCTAAATTAATAATAAAAAATAAAAATAATCGCGATAAAAACTATCTTATATCGTAAGTTGAAAAAAATCACACAAAATAAAAAAAATTTCATTAAAATCGGTTCAGTAATTTCGAAGTTCATTGGAAATCAACAATGTGACACTAATTTTAATATATATATAAAGAAGATAATTCGATTTATTTTCTTTTCTTTTAACAATACTGTCTTAAACTATTTGAAAGGTGTGCATAAGAAATATTTGAACAGGACTATAATAATAATTAACTTTAGAAGCAGTTATTTAACTCTTAATACGAAATGAAGCTTGAATCGTAAATAGATAAAACGAAATAGAAATAAAAGTAGATAAGAAAAAGTAAATAGTATTGGTAAAAGAAAGATAGAGTAGTAGACTTGCGTTAAAGTAGGATGGAAAGTAAACTTCGATGAATGGTCAGAAAAGAGAACTGTCAAAAGAAAACACTACCAGTAATTACGAGGAATGATTAAAATAGCAACGAAACGAAATACCAATTTCAAAACGTCTCACTGAACTCGATCATACCACCGTTTCTTCTCTCTCTCTCTCTCTCTCTCTCTCTCTCTCTCTTTCGTTTCGAATGAATTGCCTTTATTTTTTACTTTTTATCCATCTAGCAGAAGTAATCGAAATTACCAGAGAACGAGGTTCAATCTCGGTTTGTATGATTCATAGATGAGAGTACTCTTGTAAGTAGTTGACTGTATGCGTAAAACGAATACCATTATTACGATCATTACTCTATCTATTTATGCATTTGATATTGAAAGTTAAAGAATTTTTTTTCCTCGAATTTTTTCAGTAAGTCGAATATTATTTCACATTAATACTGTGTAACAGTTTCATAATGTAGATGAAAAGTCCATTCCTTTTTTTTTTTTGGAAAACAATTTAAAAATTCAGTAATATTATTTAGATGAGTTGTTTAAATTTGATGAAAAAAAAAAACACAGGTAATTGGAGTAAACAAATAATGCATTAAATTTGTAATCGATAACAATAATAAATTCAAATCTTCCATTAAAATTCAATTAAATCCATTCGTACAAATTCAACAACATCTTATTTTAACATTTCGTTAACTGAAGTAGAAGAATACTTGAAGACAAATAAACGAACGAAATAAAGCAACCATTTAACGAAAGTGTGTTCTCACCATTTTCCACTTTTTCTTCAAGATCTTCAAATAAATTAGTTTATCAGGAAATGGTGTAACAATGACTACTTGTCGTATCTCACGGTTGATGATTACAACATGGCAACCATTTAACGAAAGTGTTCTTATTGTTCTTCACATTTTGTTTCTTGTAACTTTCAAATAAATTAATTTATTTGGACATAACTTGTGTTATATGTGTGTGTGTGTGTGTGTATGTATATATCTAGGTATATGCTACATTAAACTATCACAGTTTATATCTCGCAGTTGATGTGTGCAATAAAGGAAAAGGTCAAAGTACGATACAGAATAATCGTTTCGATATATGAAGTCAAACCCCAGGTAATCTTCGAAGTCATTAAGTGGATAATGGTAACTTCGGTGGTGCACTTTCCACTAAACCAAAGAGATAAAAGGAAGAAAGAACAATGGTGAGAAAAAACCTAAACGTTTATCTATGCTCGCTCTTTCCACTAACACGATTCAACCATTCGTATCCTACGTTTATTAGCGCACTTCCATTTCTCTCGAGTGCTGAATTCGTTTCTTTTTTTTGAAGTGAAAACTTCTTTAGAATCAGGGTGATTTGAAAATTGTAAAATGGAAGAATGTGAAACGGAAGAATGTGAAACGGAAGAACGTGAAACCGATGAAACAAAAATAATTAATTAATTAATAAAATTCAATATATAATTTAATTCTATATATATATATATATATATATATATTTAATTCTATATTATTAAAGTGAAAACTTCTTTAGAATAGGGAATGATTTGAAAAAAATGAAACGCGGGTGGTTCAGGCAACGGAGCGGTGGGCTTCTAAGCAACGGCCACGATATTTAGTAAGAAGAGAAATAGAGACAAACATATAGGATTGAGCCTGCGAGAGAATGAGACATTATTTATCCTACTCTCGGTCTCCTCTTTATGCTATGCTTCGTAGATATCGCTCCTGGTTGTATATGTGTGTGCTTGTGTGCGACTGGATACTACGAAGCGTGGACACATATTATTTCGATAGTCAAAATGTTTGTTGGTAGGAGCGATAGAAGGGTAGAAGAATAAACAGAGATAAGCATGTAGGTATGCAACAAAAGTATAAGGTCCAAACGAACCGACGGTCGAAATAAAGAAAGAAGGTATGAAGTCTGCTTTGTAAGTTGTTAAGTCTGTAAGTCTGTGTGAGTCTGGAAGGTATATATATACGTGTCATTTCTTTTCTATTTTTCTATTTCTATTTTTCTATTTCTATTTTTCTATTTCTATTGAAAAATGTTTCTATTTTATTGAAAAATTTATATTAAATTCTTTATTTCGTAAATATTATCATTAATAATTATGAAATGTATAGAATATAATAAATGTATTGTCTGCAATATTTTACAAAAAAAATTATTACAAGATACATCAGAGAAAAAGAATTAGAGAATACTGTAGAATACGTTAGAAGCAGCTGACAAATTCCATTCAAAAGCAAGTAAGTTACTGTCACATTTTAAGTCGCATATAAGAAAATTATATTATTAATTGTAATATTTGCCTATTTAAGAAACTTATACTAATGTTTCAATAAAATAAAAACATTTTTAAGATGTTGGACGCCCAGCGTGAATCGGTGGAGCTTATCACGGGGCTGAAATTTGAGACTCGTATTGTACACAGTTCGATAAGCTGCAGAGCGATACGATTCAATGCATTTTTTAGATTTTTCGTTGTTCACATCTTTATTTAGACGAGAGTATTTAGAAAGATAAGTTTGTGGTCCAAAGAATAAAGACGAGATATGTTATAAATAATAATGGTCTCGAAGTGTGACAGGCTATAAAATTAAAAAGACATTTCTAGACAATATCTTTATTAGATCTCTCATTGCATTTTACCAGAACCTTCGTTTAGTCCAGCGGTATTTTCCATATGTTTTTCGTAATGTCTTTATTTCGTCATTCCTAAAATGTTTGTTAGACAGCTCAAGAATATAGATGAAAACGGGAAATTGAAAAACTGTACTAACAAACAAAATTTTATACCTAAGTTTCAAAAAAAAAAGGATTATTCGTATTAACTTAATTTCTGACGAATTATATTTCCTTTGATAAACATCCTACGATTTTGGTGTCTATTTATTACTATCTCATTCAGCAGTCCATTTTTATTGCTTAAATTTGGAAAAGTGTACTTTTTATCAGCTATTTTACCCAGAGACCATACCGGTGACTTTGCTATATATGGTAATAATATTATAATAAATTATTCCTGCAGTTATCTTACTCTTGAAACTGTGTATTCGTCAGATTCTCTCGAAACTTAGTCTTTTAAAGGTTTCACTTCTAACACGTGTGATCTGCACACATGATTTTTTATCAATTGCTCGAATTATTCTATAAAATAGTAAGAAGGGTTAGGTCTATCTATAATATAAAATATGCTTTAGTGGAGTGTGTTTGAAAAAAGTTGGGTTGGGGATAGATTGAAGTTATATTAGGCCGTATTAAGTGATTAAAACTCTACAAAGGTGTATATTTGACTGTTAATAGAATGATCCTAACTTTCCGCACTATGCATGCGCCTTCTTAACTATATCTGACTCCAAGAACTTGAATTTCAAATTTGTAAGGGCAAAGGAGAAGGTAATATAGAAAAAAAGACATGATTTTTATTATTAATAATAAAAGGTATATTTGACTATTCTAGAACTATAAAGATTAACATGGTGCAAACAGTTTCTCTTAAAAGTTTACCTATACATTCTCATTAAGATACTTCACAAACCCTTACTCCCTTACTCCCCTAAATAATAATAATTATTTAAACCCCTTACTCCCCTAATAATAATTTTTTTTGGTCAATAAATCTATTAAATCATTTATAATTTAAAATAAAAATACCGATAACATTAAAGACTGGTAAAACATAAGAAATGTTTTCAGACAGCTTATTTTAAAACAATTTCTTAAAAGATTAAAAAAATAWTAACAATAATAATAAATATTATCGCTTCTTAAATCTTAAAAAAATCTTTTTCGTAGGTTTCATTGTTATACCCATTCGTATAGCTATGTCTTCCAATTTTAGTGGGACATCTACATGAACAGAAAATTTTCTCAATACAGTAGCAATTACGACTTTAATTTCAATCATTGCAAAGTTCCAACCTATAAAAATCAAATTCATTGCACATGTATTATGTTAATCATCTCTATATTATACACTCTTTTGATTCTATAAATATATACTGTTACCAATACATCCTCTTGGTCCAGTGCCGAATGGTAAAAAATGTTTAATATTGTAATTGCCAGATAAAAATCTATCAGGATTAAATTGTAAAGGATTTTTCCAATATTTGTCGTTTCGATGAAGTGCGTAAAGCATGACTACACAAGTAGAATTTTTTGGGACTATTACACTCTCGCTTACTTTAAAAAATTAATAAATATATGCAATTACTATATAAAACGTAAMTTATTTAACGTATTAAACGTAAATATATTAATATGAAATAATAACGTAAATTGTAAAAATATACARGTTGATTCTTGTAACGGAGGCGGCTAAAAACTTTTTTTTAAGTAACAATAAAAAAAAATCATAAAAGAAAAACTTATATAGCACAACAAATGTCAACTTTCTATGACCTTACTTTTTTTTGAAAATGCATCGATGCACCCGCTAGATGCAGTTGCACTTTTTTTTTAAATGGAACTTTATATTTTTTTTATACTATTCGATTCCTTTTTTTTTATTCTGCGTTAAAAAGTATTAAATGAAGGTCATCGAAATGTCAATAGTTTATGAGATATTTGAAGTTTTATATCAGTAATATATTTTATTATAATAAATGTTCGAATGTTTCTCCATTTCATTCTAAACAATTAAATACGCACATTTTATTGCGCTTTTTTACATTTTTCATCACATTTTTTGATTAATTTGAATAATTATTGGAATAATATATTGTTATACGCTCCTTATATAACTTCAAATATGTCGTAAACTATTGATATTTCGATGACCTTCATTTAATACTTTTTAACGCAGAATAAAAAAAGGAATCGAATAGTATAAAAAAAAAATATAAAGTTCCATTTAAAAAAAAAAGTGCAACTGCATCTAGCGGGTGCATCGATGCAATTTCAAAAAAGTAAGGTCATAGAAAGTTGACATTTGTTGTGCTATATAAGTTTTTCCTTTATGATTTTTTTCTATTGTTACTTAAAAAAAAGGTTATTAGCCGCTTCCGTTACAAGAATCACCCTGTATATACAAATATTTATTCAGTATGTGTATGAATACCTTGTATATCTTCACATACACTTCGTCCAATAAAAGGAGCAGGTGGGAAAAGACGAAAAGTCTCTTTGATCACTCTTTCCAAACATTTTAAATTCTTAGTATCTTCATATGAAATATTTTCATCTACCGGATCGGAAGAACCATATATTTGGTAGAGCTCTTCGTATACTTGTTCCTGCATTTTAAGATGTGGAATACTTGATTCAACTTTAGTATAAAATTATGTGTTGTTTTTTAAAGACAGTGACAGTGAATATTGCAATTAGGTTTTACTCATACGTACTTGAATTTTTGGATAAATAGCTAACATTAACAACACAAAAGTAATTGAAATAGAACTTGTATCACTTCCCTAAAAAATATAAAATTTTTTCTTTTTCTTGTTCTTATAATCAAAGTTTTGTTTAMAGTAGACAAAATCTTACTTACAGCTATAACTATTGTATTCATTTCGTCACGAATATCTTGTTCCGTATATTCTTTTCCCTCATAGAATGATTTGAATACCGTGTCAAGAAATAGAGAAGTATTTTTTGCTTTATTAAAAAGAATAATTAATATACTTTTTAGCATGTTAAGAAAATTTTATTGCAACAATTTGTTAAAAAATAGAATTAGATAATTGAATAGTTATTATTACTTGCATCTTTTTCATTCATTTCGCCATTAATTTTCTTTTCTTGCATAGATTCTTTTTGTTCCTTTATTAYCTTAACAAATAAGTTATATATATATTTTAATGCAGTAATAGAATAATATATGTACAATGTGATAAATTTAATAAATAATTTTTGTCTTTATTTATACCTTCCAGGTTAATGTATCCAAGTGTGCTAAAGCTTTCCGAAATCTTTTTCCTATAGATAAATTGTAGAAAATAATATCCGGATGCCACCAGAATTTGTAGATCCTTTGGAACGCTATGTCCATAATTCTGAATAAAAATAAAAATAAGAAAGAAAACAAAATGTGTCATAAAACTCGATATTTTTAAAAATTTAAAAATATTATTATTATTATTATTATTATTATTATTATTATCATTATTATTATTATTATTACTCTGAAATATTGTCATGAAGTCTACATTCTGGATTATTTTGGAAATTAAAATCCCGGCCAAAACTTGTATCTGTCAATTAAAAAAGAAAACAAATATTAACAAATTTTTTTATAATAAAGAAGTTTTTTTTAATTTTTTTGTTTTTAAAGAAATTTTCTAAACTTCAAATATTTCGAAATCTTACCATATATCGTATCCAAAGTAAAAAGATTTGTGTAATGGGACATGTCTATGTTTGTTTCATTAGAACTTTCAATAATTCTCATTAATCGGTTTAAATGTTTTATTATCTTGCTTATATTGTTAGAAAGAATTTGTTTTTTGAAAACTGGATTTAACAATTTTCGATGACTGCCCCATATTGATGCTTTAAATAAAAAATATGTTTTAATGAAGTATATTATATTTTTCTTTTTTATATTAAAAAGTTTCGATATAGAAAAAAATAACTCTTTTACATGTATGTTTCATGCATTAGTGTACACGTCATATGCGAAAAGAAAGAGAAAAGTCTCTAATTAGCAATTAATTTTAAGTTATTTTTAAAAAAAATTCTTCCTTAGTAATATATATGTAAGATTTATTGAATTTAAATAGAAATATTTATTATAATAGAACAAATACTTAATTATTAAGGTTTCATATAATAATAATGAGATAGAAATCGAAAAGAAAAGTAAGTAACAATAGTTAGGAATCTTAAGTATACTCGTATTACACTCTTTCACTCACAAATAGTCGCACCGAATCAAGAAGGCGAAGATCGCCTTCTTCGCCGCGCTTATATACTCATTCACCTCACCAATGGTCCCAATCACTTCCGTTAATCATTCTCGAAATCTCCAGACTATTCCCGAYCGATTAAACAAAAGACCTCTTCCCGATTTCCGGTTCGGGAATATTCGAGAGACTTCGGGGTGCACGCTCGCTTTTCTTTCTTACTAGACACACTCATATTCATACCGCTGCATGCACTCACACTTATACCCATACCGCTGCATACTCTTACACATCTTTCACATTCATCAATTGTTTTCACGCACACCATACACTCGCACTCTTCGTCTTTCTCTCACCCTTACATATATTTAAGTATAATTCTTTCAATTAAAAGATAAAAGTATAATTCTATAGTTTACCTGAAGCAGATATTAAACCATTGCCAAAAAAAGGTTTCATAAACTTATATTCGGGACTTTTCTCAAAACTATTCGAGTGTTTAGAAATAATCTGGAAAAAAAAGAATTTCAAAATATAAAAATGAATAATTTAAGAAGAATTTTACTGTTAAAAACTCATCATAAGAAATTATAGAAATGTTTTAGAATCTTACTTCAATATATTGCGGATCACTCAAAATTATATATAATTTTGGCCCTAACCAAATCCGCCATGGTGATGGATATTTTTTCATTTCTTTTATAATTTTATTTGTTATGTCTAATTATAAGATAAATTCAATTAATACTATTTGCAAGAATGTAAGTATTATAAATATAAGAGGCAAACTAACCTTTAGTATCACCAAAAAATATTTGTAGATTTCCAATGAGAGGATATGCTTTAGGTCCTGAGAACCCTTTTACCAAATCATATTCATGTATTTTATTTATTAAATATTTTATCATATAGTATAATAAAAGTATTATTACTGGTAAACTAATAAATTTTTCAATAAATTCCATATTGTTTTAATTGAATCAAAAAATATTATAGAAATAGTCTTTTGGTTTAAAAATATTCTAAGTCCTTCTTATGTAAATTTGAAATAGAAAATTTAACAAAGCACAGAAACTTCAAGCTATCTTCGTGTCTTAGCAATGATTGAAAGAAAATCAAGAAAAGCTTGGTCTACTTAAAGAAGACGATGATGTCAGTGCGCAAGGTGRGACAAATCAATCTCATTTATATTTTATTTTTTGTTCGAATGSATAATCGCATAAGTATATGCAATATATAAAAATAGAACAATTTTACATTGTTCAATGCTACATAGGATAATAAGAGATTCATAAGAAATACTAATTATTTACGTCACATGATTTATATCTTTCTYTTATCTCGATATTTAAGTTTTTTTTACAATATGTAAGATAAGAATATTTTTATTTTGTCTTACGAGTTATTAACTTGATATAATGTTTATAGTTAGGTTTTCCGTATTTTTTTTCATTGCACCGGTAACTGCTGTGATAATTATTCTCCAATAAACTGAGGCTTTTGGTAGATTGGTTAAAATATACTTCTCTAAAACCACGAAACTTGTACACTTTTCCTTCGTTTAAATTATTTTGATGTCCTAAATGGAATAGCGAGAAATCAACATTTATGCTAGTTGGATCAACATAAATATAATGTATGTAGTCGATTTTTGAAAAAATTTTATTAGTTTTTCTTTTAATTTGTTCTACTGCAGAGAAAAACTAGAGGAGTAGCGAGACGTATATTTATTCACACACAAGAATAATGTGATTCTATTTTACCTCATTACATAATAGCGGCAATTTCCTTTAATTATTCGAGAAAAATTATATAATTTTTTCTATTTTTATTATATGCTAATCATATTAGTTRAGAAAATACATTGCAGAGAATGTTTATATATTGCCAGTTTTTTATATTATAAATGACTTTGACATGTATATTAATGTGCCTTTTAACGATTTGATTTATAAATATCTTATAAATAATTGATACTTAGGTAAGGACATATTTCTTTTTTTTCTTTATAACCTGTATTCAACTCCATGTAACATACAGTAAAGAGCATAACTGAACCAATATTTACTAGTTTTATATAAATCTTTATTTATTGCTAAGAATGTAAATAAATATTTAAAAATGAACATTAGGATGGGTCAAAGTTGTACAAGTGCCACGGARAAATGGGTTGCTAGACACCTTAAAAAAATTCTCACCAAATATGAGCTCTTAATTTTTATAGGAAGATCCTCCGCATCGCAGTTTTTTATTTTTTTCTCAGTCCAATAGAATAAAATTCATACCTCATCATTAATTGATTGTACAGAAAAATGTTTAAGACGAATTTTGTAGGAAATTTAATGCTTTACAAAAAAGATATCTTATACTTTTTCCGTAAACCTCACCATTTGAATGATATTGAAGATTTAAGTTTGATTATTTTAAGACAAATTTCATTTTTGTTTATGAATTTTATAACTCGACAATAAATGACTATTAAAAAATGCGCAATACAAATTTTTGTAGGAAATTATCTGCTCTATAAAAATGGTRTCTTGTGTTTTGGCGATTAAATTAAGCGTTCAAAAGATATTAATCATCAAACTTTTTTGTTAAAGAGCATCGAAAAAATTACCCTACTTGCACAAAATCAATTCTCGCAATCAGTCGAACAGAAAAGTACGCAAGTAAATTAAAGCAAATATGAAGGTAATGTCTTCAAATTGTTTAAAAAAAGTAATTTCTTTTTTGAATGACGGCTTATCAACACGTCAGACAAGGAAAAATTGTAGTGTTAGCTAGTCGACAGTGCAGAGAATAAGAAAAAAATATTGTAGAATTATGTTATTAAATATTGGAGAAAGACTCAAAAAATTATCACTGCAAGATGAACGAAGAAGAATTATATATAAAGTGTGTAAGTCTGTGTGAGTCTGGAAGGTTCCCGAACGATACCGATGCTTTGTTTATTGCATCAGACCGGACGTTTTGGAAAATTCGAGAACCGCGTGCGGATGGAAATAAAGAAGCGATTATTGAATCATCATGAAAAGTCGCCAGTCGCCAATCGTCATCAGTCGTTGTTCATCATCTTTCAGTTAAAAAATTGCAGTTTGTATATCGATTGTTATCATAAGATTTTAAATATATATATTTGTTTCTATCTATGGCTATCGCATTCAGCATCCAATCTTAATTGATAGAATTTGGAAAAGTGTAGTTTTTATCAGCTATTCCACCCATTGATCATACTGGTGCCCTTTGTTATATATGGTTATAATATAATAATAAATAAATCCTACAATTATCTTATTCTTGAAACTGTGCATTTGTCTCATTCTCTCGAAACTTAGTTTTTTGAAGGTTTCACTTCTAACTCGTGTGATCTGCACACATGATTTTTTTTTTGGATCTACCATCACAAGCACACTTTTCAAAAATATTTTCAATTTAAATTTTTCGAATTAGGTCAAAATTTATTCAAGAATAATTAAATAATTAACAAAAGCAATTTCAGAATCGTTGAAAATTTATTAAAACGTGACAAAGAAATGCATTAAATTTGTTTTCATATTTTTATATATATATATATATTAATTGGAAAAATCACTTTAACATACAAAATGTTAAAAGTTTCTATAATAATCGTTATGTCTGTTTTTATTAATTTTAATAACAATAATAAATCAAATTCATTGAAAAATAAGATTTAGTTGAATCTGAAACAACTGAAAATTAGCTTGATAAAAAAAATTTAATAAATTTACACTGATATTTTTTATACAAATAAGTGACATTACTTTGACACACAAGATGTACGTATTTTTTAAAACCATTATTTACTTATTTAGTATTAACCTAAATAACAACAGTAAACCAAATTCACACAATAGATGAACATCTGTTGCAAACAGCACGTTTTAATGATAGTCCTAG